CTTGAAAACATTCTTCTTCCAAATTGTTGGCTACATATTACGGGTTTTTTCTCTGGCAAGAAGTTCGATGGCAAATCCTCCCTCTTCAAGTTGGCGATCCAACGACCAACCCGTCCGTGGAGGATCAGGAATCAGAAAGGTGGAATAACTCTTTTTTTTTCCACTTTTCCCCGATGGATTCCAACATTTGCTTGTAAAGCGGGGAGAATGGCGCTAGGCTAACCGCACCGTGACATCACTGCTGGATTAGGAGGGAGGGGTTACTATATTTGGGCAAAAATGGCCGTCCCCAGACTCAATGATCGCAACGAAAATTATTTAAATTTTTTTACTGATTAACGCTAAATTAATTAAATCACCGCTAACGTATTAGTTTAGGTATAAAAAATGATTATTCCTCGCTGATCGGATTTTTCCTTTAAAAACGTTATAAATTCTCAGTATGGTTGTTTCCTGCCGTTCGTTGACCAGCTCTGATATTCTTAGGAGGAAATATTGAAGAATAGCAATTGGATGGACATTTAAACTGCATATTTCTTCTCTTTGTTTCTGTCTGATTTGTAACCATAGCAAACAAACATATCTGCTCTTGGGGTTATTGATTGAATCATGCCTGCAGTAAATGATTGTTCTGGTTTCTGGGGTTTTTCTGCTGATACTTCCTGCTGATAAGCTCAATCACAGTGTGAATGAGTTATCAGTCATGTTCAGCTGCCGTCGGACTGATGTAACGCGTCTGACTTGCTGCACACATTACACTGCAAAAAAAGAAATCTAAATAAGTCATTTTTTCTTAAAATAAGTGCATTTGTCTTGAATGAAGGAGGTAGGTGAGACACTGTGCAAATGGAACAAGACAATTTACATTTAAAATAAGTAAAAAACAACAGTAGTCTCTTATTTCAAGTGCATATTATCTAATTAAATTATTTTAAGAGTAAAAATGCTCATTTATTCAGCAAATCATCTTATTTACCTACTAAAATTAAAGGTAAATACACTTGATTTAAGAAATTTGTAGTTATTTCTAGATGTTTTTGCAGTGTAGAAACCAAGTAGCCTCTGAAACTTGTCTGTTATTTGTGCCTCATTTGGTTGAATACATTGTTTATTTATTTATTTATTGTTTTGCCAAGATGTCTTTTATTTGCACATTTGCTGTCAAAGCATTGCTCCTCCTTTCACTTTCTCTGGGAATTTAGAAGTTAGCGTTTCTGTGACCTCTAAGCTGAGCAGGAAATGATGCGTTATCAGCCTTTGTGCCAAAAGGGTGCATGAAGTCCAGAGATGAAATGATCCGGTTAGAGGAAAAAATTGCGCTTAGTTTCCATTCAGATAATAAGGAAATAAGAAGCTTTGCAGATTTCATCCCCGGATGAACATGGATTCTAAGTGCTTATCTTATGTAAACATTTTCTTCTGTCCATAAACCGGCGGAATGTTTTAGAAAAGCCAGCGAGTGCCGCTAAGCTTTCATCTGAAGGAATGCTTTGCTTTGCTTTCTCCTCTTAAAACAAAGATTGTTTTTTTTAAACTAAAATCTGCTCTTAGAAGAAAATCCTGTAAATGTTTAGTGGAACCTTACGAAACATAGAAGTGTTTAAAATGTTTTTATTTATGAATCCAGTCATTCCAAAAAAGTTAAAAATCAATCCACTGGACTTTGTTTGCAAGTTTTAGGACGTTTCTCTTCCCATCCAGGAAGATTTTTCAATTCAAAATGTCATAAATAGCGGTGAGTTCCAGTTTTTATCCAGTTGTTTTAAG